AACAACATTAGTGCAGTGTTATATACATTGCCCATAATTTAACAGATTAAACACATCAATATTCCTTTTTATAAAATATCTATTTATGATAATATATATTAAAAGTGAAATTAGTTATTATTAAGTTTAATAAATCTCTTTAATAGAGGTAATACGAGTGTAAAAGTTTAATGGCTTGAAATTCTTAGTATTGCTTCTAAAATTTTAATTGTTAGTAAACTCATTCAAATAATATTTAAGACATCTAAAGCAGCAATATTATCATTATTAATTTCAGTGTATGAAATTGGAGGTTTGATATTGATTAAATTGAGATAACCATAGAAGTATGCGTGTTATAAAATTTTGGCTTAAAGATTTGCAATTAACTCATAACTCATGACAGAGTATTAAAAGATAAAAATTGGGTTAATTTAAAGCAAATGATTTAATTCCTGTTGATTTTGTTGAAATTAAATTCGGATATTGAATTTCAGCAGGTTTAAGATAGGTAGATTTTAACAATATTACAATTAAAACAAATCAGACATTCAAAATTAAATAATATCATAGACAATCCTAACAGGGATAGTGAATCCTGTTAATAAGATATCTGATCCAATGACTAAGATAATTAAAACTTCTTATTTTCAGAAACATTAATATCTAATGATAAAGCCATTGGTATTTTTTGCATAACAGAAATGAGAAGATAATTAGAAATGTTTAAAGGTAAATTTAAGTTGTAGATAAGGGAAATAAAAGATGATGATCCTTTTTTAAACAGATTATCCTGTTCATGGATAAATTATTATGTGAACCTAACATTATTTCAAAGTAGCAGTAGTATAGATGGCCTTGGCTATTCCAGATGGATTACTAACTATTATTATAACCTGATAGCTTAAGGAGATCAAACAATGATGAATAACAAAGCTATATTTCTTAAATTACCTCCTTAGGATGCTCAACTATCATTATTACTGATACTTTGAAACCAATTAAATTTGTTTTAAAGAAAGTGAAGTCTTATCAGGAATGGTCATATCAATAAAAGTATTCCATTATGAAGGTATCTTTTTAAACAGAAAGAAAGATTGGTTGCTAAAGATGTCTAACTTGTTGAAGGAAATAGTTTAAACAATAAAACTGATCAAAAATTATTCGAAGTAGTCTTAAATGTTATTTCTAATTCAGTTTCATTTAATCAAAATATTTTAATTGGTTTTGTTATTTCATAATAAGTCAAAATAGGTACATTTTTTATGTTAGAATCTATTTTATCTAAATTTTCAAATAATTTAATCAAAAATATAGTCTTTTTATTTCCAGATTGTACAGATGAAGATCCTAAATAGAAGGTAATATTGTAGTCTAAAGCAGAAATAATTAATGGAATACAATCTCCTGTGTTCTAAATGATACCAAAAATGAATAATTTTTGGTATCTCAAATTTAATACTACAGCTTTATTTATAGAAAATAAAACATAAGAAAATCGAATTTCATGGGAAATTGGGAAGAATAGTTTTTAATTGCTTCTTTAAGATTATTTATCACATAAATTCGATTACAATAAACTATAAGATATGAGAAATAAGTATAATGAGTTTATCAATAAGAATTTTTCAGAGATTAAAGGCTAATTGAACAATAAGTTTTTGTACTTGTATAGAAGAGACAATTTTGATAAGCAGAATGAGTAAACTAAAGAGTAAATCAATAACAAGTGGAGTGAGATAAGTAGTTATTTGACTGAGATAAATAGTTATTAAAATAATAGTTAATACTATTATAATATAAAAGACAAAAGCAAAGAATGGTTAATAAGGAGTAATTTAGACAGCATAATTAAATATGGAGATTAGAGTTATAAAAGCACTATCACTTAAATTGAAGAATTCTAAACTTTAACAAAAGATTAAAAAGTGTATAATAAAGAGTTTGAAGAGTTTTATGATATGTTTAAAAATTTAGTGAATTTAATTTAGTAAGATTATAATCCATGGCGATTGTATTTCAAATTTCATGCAATATTAATTTCTATTAATAGGTATCAATGGAAATATTATGAACATTTAATTTCCAAAGAATAATTATAAAAGTAAGATGGTTGGGAAAATAGAGTCAAATTATTAAAAAAAACTAGGAAATTCTTCTTTTACTCTGATGGTTAATCAGATATGCTTAATTTAGATCAACGTATTAAAGAATGGTCTGATAAATATCTTAATCAGAAATCCCGTATAGTTCAATTTTTCCTTATTTAGAGATATGAATATCCAGATAAAGGTTCTGAGCTGTATTTTGATGATAAGAGAAAATTTGAGTCATTTAAATTCGCTCATGACAGATTTAGTATTTAATACAGAATAAATTCTGATTGTTAAAAGAATTTTGATGAATTCATTAATAAAATTTGGGAAATCGTATTGAATTGATTATTATATTATTGTGATTTACAAAGCTATTAATTTTTTTAAATAATAATTCAATATGATCTGTTTAATTTGTATGAAGGTCTGCTTTTTTAATATATATAGTGATATTTGGATTTTTTATAGAGATATATATTATTGAAACTACATTTGACTATTATAAATTATTATCTAAAGCAATATTAAAAAGAATTATTGGTTAAATATATCTAATTTAATAAGAATTGAATTTTAAAATATGACTCAAGGGTTAAAAGTTTATAAACATAAAAAGAAAACAGTTTAAACACTTTCACAATT